CTCAGCTGTGCACAGGGTGCATTGCAGGGGAACATCCTGTTCTTCAGAGAGACGTATTCAATCACTGAAAAATATTCAGCATGAGGAAAAGCTGCTGCCTTATGTGTCTGTAATTGTCAGATGTACCAGTGAATAGAACAGAGGCATTTGCAAACCCTTCTCCTCCTATAGCTGTATGCCCACGATGGCTACCTGTGTGTGTAATGCACATTCCACAGACATTGAGAGCTCTGACACATCTGAATTCCCACTTTCATTGTTGCTGGCCGCTTTTTCACCCCAAAATGATTACATTTTAGCATATAAGAGAAGCTAATAGATCATAAAAACCTGAATATGTGTTTTTCATCAGACATGATCTATCAAGGATAAAAATAATTTGCTGTATTTGTTCTCAAATGATCAAATTTCAGAGTAGAGTCTTGCTGACTTCAGGGGCTTGATGACTGAAAGTTTACAGGGAGTCTGGGCTCATGTTTCAAGATCTGATTTGAAAGCCAACTTTTACCTTGTACAGATTCAGGAGACTTTCTTCATGCCATTATAAAGATCAAGTCTATTCCCCCTTGTGTTTTGTGTGCTGTCCTTACTCAGAAAAGTTTAAAACCAGGCTTTTAGTGCTTTCTATATTAAAAGATAGATGGGAAAAAATTATACCTCATAGATTTGTCTACGAAAATCACTTGAAAATTACTACTTTTGCTAAGATTTAAAAGAATTAACACATCACCTGGACTTTGCATGTGAAGATTTAACTTTTTGATAAACAGCAAACTCATCTACTGCTGTGCCAGCTATTTTTAACCCACCTTGTGAGTATGCTTTTTTTATTGCTTTATACAGCATATCTGATTCTCTCTAAAGCACAAACTAAAAAATCTATCGGGCTGTCATTTGCTGCATAGTGCCATCTATCATCATGCAGCTTGGCAGCTGTAGTGCAGGGAGGGAGGGGGGAGCTGGAGCAGGAGGCACAGTCAAGGACTTTCACATGTAACACCAAAAAAAAAAAAAAATCCTTGTCACAATTATTTATGGCTCTTGCTGGGGCACATAATAGGACACATAAAACCTCTGTTTCAGTTTCAAGCCCCCTCCCCTGTCGGAGTCGGGCACAGGCAGTTTTGCTTTACACATACAATTTCCTGAACAATGCCGAGCACTTGTGAAGTGACAGTGACAAATACTGGAGGCTCTGGCTGCAGCTCTGCAGGCTGTTACAGGAGCAGGGGTGTCAATAATCAAGGAAGGCTGCCAATGATACCAAAATGCCACTGTGATACTCTCCTTGTTCAAGCAGCTCTCTGCAATGCTTTTATTTTGAAGTTCCAGGAAACTTCTCGTGTCCCTGTAGTTCCAGGCTGCGAGGAAATAAAGTGTCGGAGGGACCCGTGCCAAGAAATGATTTTTCATTGTTTGATCTTCTGTGCAGTTTGATCTCACGATAACTAAAATATTGCTGGTTCAGAGGGGCTTAATGAATATTCAGCAGTTTCCTATTAGTGTTAGCCTGGTGTGAAGTCTTTTTGTTAGGGTCTATCGTATCAGCCCTCTGCATGGTGTGCTTGACTTTGTTGTTCAGAGTGTAACCTTTGGTTCAGGTCCCAGCTGATGGATTTCAGAGCGACTCTGCTCCTCTCTGGGTGGCAGCAATGGGGAGCTGTGCTGTTAAAGAAACCATGCTTTAGGTAATTAAACATAAAATTCGGGTCCAAACCAACAAATTGTCTTGCTTGCAGTTTCTCAAGAAAGAGCATAGGCAGATATTAACCTTGATGTCCCCATTAAAGTCCTCTGATACACTTTTTATTTCCCATATCTCATAGCATTTCTGATCTCCAGTGTTAAGTAGCAGACTGTTAAATTAGCAGAAGAGAGGCCAGGATAGATTTGCTCCTGTGGAGCAAATCAGTTTTGAAGGTACGATCCATAAAAACACCAAGAATACAAATTAAACAGAAGCTCTTGAAAAACCATTCACTTTAAGCACAATACATTTTCATTATTGTTAAGGCAGCCACAAACAGCATCTAGGTACACAAAGTAACTGTCACGAAACCCACTCTTGATAAATCAGGGTTACATTTATCTAAATGAAAGGCACCTGCCCTCTTCCTGAAGCTGCAGAAAGAGGTGGTGGCTTTAGGACGGCTTCAAATGTTAAAACATGCCTAGAAAAAGAAAAGGTCTGAAAGACCAAGTTAGTTAGACACGAATTGTGATGATTTTCTGTGGTTTAGTTCCGCTGCACTGAGTGTGCTGTCAGTCATGTGCAGTTCATTCAGACTTGTTTCTCACGACCACATTCCCCGGGCAGTTCCTATAGGTTTGAAGTGCTTCTGCATGAAGCAGGGTTGGTTTAGGAAACATGGATCCTGCTGGCTCAGTTACATCCCACATCCACCTTATTGCCCCTGTGCAAAAAGTGTTCTGAGAAACCGTTCCCATGTGGCAAAGCTCGTCTCTGCTGAGACTTTACATTCCACCACCAAACCTCCCTCGATTCTAAGTCTCTAACACAGAGTTCCTGTTGAACAGAGGTGGTCTGGACAAGAGTAAGTTGAAACAGCTGTGTGCTCTTTACCTCATCTGCACCAGAGTCACAACCAGTTCCTGCTCTCTGCTTCCTCCCTCACAATCTCATTAAACACGCACACGTGGGTTTTTTCTCCTGCATAGTTTCGTTTTAAATTTCCTGTCCTACTTGGATTTTTTTCTCACCTTAGTGAAAATAGGAGTGGGATCAAATGTTGAACAGACCATATTTACGTCCATTGCTATTGTTGTTTTCTTTAGCTCACTGAAAATTGAGAGGAGAACTCTGGTCTTTATTGTTGTTTCTGTCAGTAGCAGCTACACAAGATCCAGGTGATGGGCAGCATCAGGTACAATGTTGTCTTGATTGCTGCACAAAAGTGTGAAAGTTGACATCATTATGTTAAAATTGCCAGCACAGGAAGGACATGGAGCTGTTGGAATGAGTCCAGAGGAGGCACCAAGGTGATCAGAGGGATGGAGCAGCTCTACTGGGAGGAAAGGCTGAAAGAATTGGAATTTTTCAGCCTGGAAAAAAGAAGCTTTGGGGTGACCTAACTGTGGCTTTCCAGTGCCTCAAGGAGTTCCAGGAAAGATAGAGAGACTATTTCCAAGGGCCTGGAGTGACAGGAAAAGGGGAAATGGCTTCACACTGACAGAGAGGAGGGTTAGATGGCATATTGGGAAGGAATTGTTCCCTGTGAGGGTGGGGAGGCCCTGGCACAGGTTGCCCAGAGAAGCTGTGGCTGTCCCATCTCTGAAAGTGTCCAAGGCCAGGTTGGATGGGGCTTGAAGCAACCTGGGCTAGTGGAAGGTGTCCCTGCCCATGGCAGGGGGTGGGACTGGATGAGCTTTAAGGTCTTTCCAACCCAAACCATTCTCTGATTCTATGAACCTCTCAGAAGTGAGAGCAAACCTGAGATTAAGGAGAGATTTGCCAGTGTTTGCAAAATATATTTTACTTTTTCCAAGAAAAGTAACAAGGAGTGCATGGGCTCTTCTGCATCAGACTCTGCAGTGCGTTGTGAAATGGGATTACTGTCAATCAAACTAATTTCTCACGGATCACTTCTTGTCTTTAATTTCTGTTCCTTTGCTTCTATTTCCTACAAGCTTTCATAGCATGTTATGCTTTTGGCACTTTCTGAAGAGGAAAAATATTTTTCCTGGAGTTTATAGATGCATTGTAGAAGAGGTTTAAATACTATCAAAAATGCTTTAAAACCCCAAATTTTATTGGTAGTTAAATGATCCATATAGTAGAAACATCCATGTAGTTTCTGTTTATTTTCAGTGCATTATTTTTTTTTTCCTTGAGTTTTTTGCTCTAGGGACTGTTTCAAGGTAGTTGGGACACATGAAAACAGAATTCCAAATGTGGGTATACGCAAATAATTAACGTTAGCATTAAGGCTTATCTAAGGAGCAGAAAAATGGAAGGCTTTGGTTGTGGTATATTTCCTGGGATTTTCTTTGCACTGGTTCCCTTTCAGCATCTCACTTTTGGAGAAGCCTCTGTTCTGCAGGGCTTCTGTTGCTTTCTTATTCTAAAATCCAGTTAAGTGTAGAAAAATGTTCACTGCCCTTTTCTTATGAATTACAAGGTTGTAAAATCATTACGAGTAAGAAGGAATGTGCCATAGTCTGGGTTTGTTGACTCTGGACCAAACAGTGAGTGGGAAAAAAAAATTACTCGTTGGGTCATTTGGGGAAAAAACACAAATATTGAAACACTGTGAGTTCTTTGGGTTTGGATTTGATAGATCAGGGGAAGGGAGCTGCAATGATTACAAAAAGTGGTAGATTTGGGTTTGATCATTTCCTTACAAACTGTTCTCGATAATTGTGCACAGAAGTGTGAGGTGTATTTTTATATTGCTGATTTTCTCCAACTGCACTTAGAATCTACTTTAACCACTTTGAGGTTGTAAATTACCAAGTAATTAATATTAGAAGGTAAAAATATTATTTAAGGTCTGCATTGGTACAAAGAAAAAAATAATGCCGTAGTGCCCCATCCATTCCTGTTCATAAAACCAGCTACCATGGGAGTGCATCACCTGAGGTTTTCAACAGCTAAAAAGTGCATTCTTGTGAAAGACTGCCTTTCCAGTTTTTAGAAGACAAAAGATTTCTATTTACTATACAAATACATTTACCTGTTTGCCAGCTGGTGACTGTGATGCAGAGTTTTTTCCATGAGTCACCACAGAGTGTTTTCGGTTTGTTTGGTTGTTTCAAGTCAGTATTTAATAAACTTCAAGCCTATTTGGGTTTTAATTTCTTGTGATGCCACAACACATTGTTCTTTGCTTGAGATTGACACCAATTTAGTAAGATGTGGCAAACATGCAGCTACCAAGGAAATAGTTTCCTTAGCAACAAGGAACCTATTGACAACGCTCCACACGGAACCCACTTTAACCCCAGTCTGGGGAGTTGCTGTTTCTCTGGTTTCTGGCTGTTCTTTGCATCTGCACAAATCAGATGTTAGAGGACCAAAATGTGCTGTCTATAACCACAGGCAAAATCACCTTCAACATGCATGAAGGTAGGAGTTGGTGAACAACCAGTTGCACCATCAAAACTTGGGCATTTAGCAAGGCACAGTAACATTTAAAATGCATGGTGGGCAAATCTGAGCTTAAGTAAAGTTAATCTGTAAGCTGAGCCCAGGTGACACATCCAGGATTTAATAGAGCATAATATAAAATAATAGGAGGAAAAAAGCCTTGGTGTGTTGTGCTGACACACATTTTTGGGCAGAGGTATTTATATATGCCACTGATGGAAGCAGCCTGGGTAAATGCAACATTAAGTTTAGGACTGATAAAAATAAAATAAGCATTCCACAATTCCACGTGGGAATTGTTCCACCTAACTCATCTGTCATGTAAAATAGCAGTAACAATGTGTGACTTTACTGGGAGAGGAAAAGGTTTAACCTGTTTCAATGGAGTTTTGGTTTAAAAAAAAACCCAATACAAGTTCAGAAAAAGTAATCTCATCACAACATTCCTTGTTGTTTATATTTTTACAAATATTTTAGTTACATGTTCCCTGCTTTCCTGATTTAGGCACTGGCATTACATGGAATGACCCAGTATTAACGATGGGAGTCTAAGCCCAGAAGATATTTGAAGTCAAGTCCCTGTTCTGCTCCATATTTTCTTGTGCAATCCCCCATGGACTCACATTTCCAAAGGGACTGGCACTTGTGAATATTCCCACTTTGGAGCAATCACCGAGAGACCATTATGAGGATATGATTTTTGGAAAATGCTAAATGCTCATGTTCTCAGAATAAGATCTCTTTAAAGTGTTCCCAAATTTGAAGCACTGCATATGTTAGAATTCCTACAGTTCCTGGCACCGTCTCCAGCAGTGGAGCGAAGCACAGAGACAGCTGAGACAGGAGAAACCAGGCTTGAGATGTTATTCCTGCAAAATCAGGATATCCTTGACTCCCACACCTGGTGATGCAGATGCTGCATCAGGCCAGCCTGACCTCGGGGTCCCCTCAGTCCTTGCCCACACTCAGGTTTTAATATCAACGTGGTTTTAATGATAATCAGGACAACATAATACTAAGGCCATAAATCAAAGAATCCCAGAGTGGTTTGGGTTGGAAGGGACCTTAAAGATCACCTCATTCCACCCCCTGCCATGGTCAGGGACACCTTCCACTAGCCCAGGTTGCTCCAAGCCCCGTCCAACCTGGCCTTGGACACTTCCAGGGATGGGGCAGCCACAGCTTCTCTGGGCAACCTGTGCCAGGGCCTCCCCACCCTCACAGGGCAGAATTCCTTCCCAATATCCCATCTAACCCTCCTCTCTGTCAGTGTGAAGCCATTTTCCCTTGTCCTGTCACTCCAGGCCCTTGGAAATAGTCTCTCTCTATCTTTCCTGGAACTCCTTGAGGCACTGGAAAGCCATAATTAGGTGACCCCAAATCTTCTCTTTTCCAGGCTGATCAATCCCAATTCTCTCCCCTTTCCTCCCAGCAGAGCTGCTCCATCCCTCTGATAGTCTTGGTGCCTCCTCTGGACTCGTTCCAACAGGTCAATCCCAGCATTTAATTTATATGAAGACTCCCTGATTTCTGACAGGGCTCTGGCCCACACAGAATTGACCGTTAACCAGTGAAATAAGCCATATTTTCCATAACAAAAAGCAGCACTAAAGTGCTCAACATTGACATTAATATAGCTTTCAAATAGTTTCTAGGTAAAATTCAGTGGGTCACCTCTGTCAGGTTTTAAGATTTGGGTCCAAATTTTCAATTAAAGTCTCTTATGAAACCTGCAGCAGCACCTGCACGGTTTTAAAAGAATAGCTGTTAGATTAATTTTCATTGCAATTTGTTAAATAACACTACAACAAAAGGAGAACATTACAAAGGTGAAAAAAAAATCTGCTCTATTTCAAACATGAGAATCAGCAAAACATCTTTGAAATCAATAAGAATCTTTATGATGGCTTTGGTCATAAAGATCTGATTTTGAAAATAAAGCCCTTTTTGCTTGTGCATAAATAAATGTAGAAATTACTGCACAGTGTCTCTAGAAATGTATTTGAATACATTCAGAAATATATTTTCTGAAATGAAATTATTACTTTGTCTTTAGTTCCACTGATCTGAAATAATTCAAGATAGTGCTGAGCATTTGGAAATCATGTTTATTCCAAAAAGAAATTAATAGCACTGTAAAACAGAGCGCATCTTGAAGATCTGACATCATCAGCTTTTGTGATTGTTTTGGTTTGGGTTTTTTTCTTAATTTCAGTTCCCCTTTCTGTACTCAAAAATGGTAAACCTGTGACTTCTATTAAAGAACTTTTTAGCTGCTAAACTGCCTTAATTAAATTGCTGTATCAGCAGTTCCACACTGAGCATCTCCTTCATGCCAAATGGTTGTGATTTGATTATCTCTTCCATGAACCCTTGCAATTCTGTGGATATGCTTTTGTATAATTAGATGAAGTATGGCCTGAAAACCAACAATATTTCCTAGCCACTGGTTTTAGAAATCCTTGCTAGGAAGAATACTGGTGATAAACTGATTTTTTTTATGCAAATTACAAGTATTATAATCTACCAGATACTTTAGCATCAGTTGCTCTTCAATTTGAGAAAATGCTGATTTAAAGCACAGCTTAATACAGTTTTTTCAGCGAAGCGTAATAGTAAAAAAAAAAAAGAAACAGGAACTTCCTTCCTTAAAATTCTCACATTAGTTTGGCCAAAGACAGGTATAGTTTCATCTTAAAAAGAATTTAAAACTTTGAGCTAGGATAGTCTTTAAAATATATATATTTTAAAAAATCATCTCCAAAATCACATTAGTAAGTGTTCATTTTTTCATGTCCTGTCGCACAGGGCACAGTGTCAACACTCAACATAATAAACAGAGGTGCAGCCAAGCCACCAACTAATTCCATTGGTAACTCATCCCAAAAGGCAACTAAAAAGCCTATTTTGAAACATATGCCTTTGTGGATGTCAACTAGTGATAATTTGCAGCTGAGCCCTGCTGGATTGGGGCAGGTGAGCTGGAAGGGATTTAACCTCATCCTCGCGCAGGTTTCTCGAGCCCTTCATTCCCTCACACCCAGCCCAGGAGAGATGGCATTTTTTGTTTGTTTGTTTGTTTTTTCCTGGGAACAGACATTTCAATTTCATTCTCTCGTCTCTGGTGGTTAACGATGCCAAAAAGCAGCATTAGGGATACGTTGGTACTTGAGGTTTTCTGACACTTATTAAAAACTCCACATGACCACCCCGCTGCCTGTCGGGGTCGCTCAGGCAGAAAGGCTGTGGCACAGAGCCACGGGCAGCTGTGGCACTGATGAACTCCTGGGATCTCAGGGTGTCTTTTTAGCTGCAGATGCTCCAAAGTTCTCTAACAGTTTGAAAACAAGGGGGTGACAGAGGGTGTCCGTCTCTCCTGAAGTCTTTTCCAAAGAAGGGGGTGACAAAGGGTGTGCGTGTCTCTTGAAGTCTTTTCCAAATGATGGAGTGGAGGAGACATTGAGTTTTGCAAGGAGCCTGTGGGATCCCCAAACACAGGTTCTGCCAAGGCAGAGAATAGCTGCTATAAAAGCTGCAAGGGACATGGACAGCCTGAGCCAGGATGTCCTCCTCCTCCCCAGCAGAGTGAGGAATTGATAAATATTAATGGTCAAAATAAGAGTTGTTGCAGATTTCTTCATCAACCTGCACGAACTTTGCCAGGCTGTGATTTTGAGTGAACTCTGCCAGGCTTTTCAAGGCCAGGCTGGATGGGGCTTGGAGCAACCTGGTCTAGTGAACCACATTCCCTGTCTTTCTACTCATCACAGAATAGTTTAGATTGGGAGGGACCTTAAAGCTCATCTCATCCCACCCCCTGCCATGGGCAGGGACACCTTCCACTAGCCCAGGTTGCCCCAAGCCCCGTCCAGCCTGGCCTCTTTCTCCAGCTGTTCTCATCCATGCCCTGACTTGACTCATCCTCACTTCAAAGAATCTTGAATAAGACCCAGAAATGTCTGAAAAATTTCAGTAACTCTGTTTTGGTAGCAAATAAGAAATGAAGAGTCTTTGGGCAAATTAGTAACGTTGGTTCCAACCATTGCATTATTAAGAAGAGTCTTCAGTGTATACTGGGAGAATTTCATCTTATCCATATGTATATCTGTTGCTTTCTGTTTTCTTGATAAAAATGCCAACTTGATTCAAGAGTTCTGCCTTGAGCAAACTACACAAAAATATTAACATTTCATTAACAGAACATCCCCTGATATGTAAATGATGATACAGGACAAGCTCCTCTTTACAGCAGTAATTGCTAAACACAGGAGAGTCACAAAAGCTGAAATTTTGGTGAGCAGCAGACTCAGGACACGTTGTTGTGGTGTCACCAACAGCTTAAAAAACAAGGACAACCCAGTGACTTCTGGTCTGAGTTGTTTGGGAGTGGTTATGTGTTTCTGAGGTTAATGAGAGAGGAATTGAGCACATTCACACATGTGCTCAATTATATCTCTGAGCTATTTCTGTAAGAGCTGTTAATGTAGGACAGAAGTAATAAACCAATAAATTAAAGGTTCTTAATTATCATTAGAAAATATTGCTGTCTTTAAATGCAGATGCAAAGTGGTGGGGGGAAAGAAGTAAAGGACTTTCTGTTTTTAAATTAGCATGAATTAAGAAAAAACACAGCTCAGATTTTCGTTCTGACTAGTTTTAACTGGGGAAATGCTGAATATGCAGTGATTTCATTTTTTTTACATTAATAATAATAGGAAATGGTAGATAGTGGCATCTCAGCACAATTCTAATTTAATGAGAAACAATAAAATAGTTTTCCAAAGGGGCCTATTTAGGTCCAAGAAAGGGGGATATTAAACTTTCAAGATTTATTTTACTTTCTTTAAGGTGTGCTGATGTGCATTTTCTATGACTATATTCTATCTGCTGATTAGATCTTTTATAATTTCCTTAGTTGGAAGAGACCTGATGTTCTTCTGACTGGATAATGTTGAAAAGGTATCAAGCAGGTCACCTTTTTTTTTAATTGTGGTTCCGTTGATCTACATTGCAAAATATTTCCTTTGGCTTTGTGCAGGATGATGTCAGGAAAGGAGAAGGGAAAATGGAATGTAAAGGAGAATGGAAAGGAAAAAAGAGTGGAAAGGAGAAAGGAAAGGAAAAAGAGAGGGAAAGGGAAAAAGGAAAGAAAAAGGAGAGGAAAGGAAATTCTTGACCTGCTGGTACAAGCCTAGATCTTGTGGAATTTAGAAAAGGAGGAGAATCATAAACTAAGAAAACTCAGGGAACTTTACTCGTGAAAGTGGTACTGTGGCACTTCTGAACTACAACTCCTATGAAGCACCACAGTGACACCAAAGTGGAAATTTTTTCAGGGATAAGTTTCCTTCTTTTGTTTCCCTCTTTTTTTCCTTCTTTGTGATTAGAAATTATGTTTTTGTTAACAGCAGATATTTTTTCATTAAGGAATCATACAGTTATATTTGGGGGTTTGTTTTGGGGGGGCGAGTTTGTGGGGTTTTATTATTGTGGATTTGGTTTCTTGGGCTTTTTTGGGGGGGTTGTTTTTTGTATTGTTGGTTTGTTGTTGCTGTTTGTTTTGGGGGGTTTGGGGTAGTTTTTTTGTGAAACCCAATTTGATGAAGACATTTTATCCAGACCAAAGACAGTAGAAAGTCCAGATCTTATCAATAATTCAGTGAGAATGCACGAGCACTTGGAAGAGAATGATGCTTGGGCATGAAAATAGGGAAGTCTCATATCTAAATTAAAGAAAACTTACTGTATAGTGTAGGTC